GGGCATTTGGTACTAGACAGACGTAAAAAAATATGGCAGAGGAAAAGTCCATGAATTCACCTGCAACCTTAACAGAGACACAGGATAGTATTGAAGGAAATGAAAGAAGTTTGATATGCGATATCTTAGATCAAATGACCAATGTAATGGAGATACTTCAACAGACTATTTGTGAGTTTAAAGAAGACATGATTACTGAGATTCGTGTGTTTAGAGGAGTGATAATGAATGAGATTGGAAATCTAGAAAAGAAAATAGAGACTAGTCAGGATCAAAAGCAGGCTAACAACAAGAGGAAACTTCCTGGTACCCAGACGGAGAAGACCCTGAAACTCCAGAAGAAAAAGTAAATATGTACATTTTTTACTTTGAATAAATCATCTTACACACTTTTTTACTGTGTTGTTGTTTTTTCCGTTTTCAGAAAATAGAGAGAGGCTTGCTCTGTGTGAATGACACACATGACGTCACAATGGTATACTTGAATCGATGCCAAGATTGTGTATTGCCTATACCTGACTCAGCACAAAACGTAGATTAAACGTAGACCCCCCTTTTTTTTTTTACTTGGGTTTTTCCAAGGTGTATACTAGATTGAACCGGCCAGGGAACCAAAAAAAAAGTGCACTCAGTTGACCCAGCCATCCAGGATCTGGGGGGACAAAAGTGCACTCAGTTGACCCAGCCATCCAGGATCTGGGGGGACAAAAGTGCACTCAGTTGACCCAGCCATCCAGACCCCTTATACTACTGTGATATAATTTAAAATTCAGAAAAGAAGAGAAAAAGCACTGCAAACTGAAATTGGAATTCATAAACAATTGATCATTTCATGAGGACTGCGACATATGGAAAACTGATCTACATAATCGATTTGAACCACTACATTTCCCTGTCTAGATTCTAGATTTCTTTGGAATAGTAGTATTTCACACACTTAGACTTGTTTATTCATGAAGTCTCCCACAGATCTAGTCAGAAAAAAGAGACAAGTTACCTGATCATAAAAAAGACAATAAAAGGTTAAATTACTCAAACTCGAAAAACCAATTTCGTTTCGAGTTGAGGACTGGGAAATCAACTTCGGTAGGAACATTTTTACTGGTATTTATTTTACTGGTATAATTTGGAAGAAATTGAAATACTGCTTCATGAAGTCTCCAGCAGATCCAGTGAGAAAAATGACAAGTTTCCTGAATATTATCCACCGAAATTAGTCACCCAAAGTTGAACGGTCTTCATGAAAGCATGTAACTTTATTTGAAATATCTTAATGGCATTTGGAAGAGTTTATCCATTGCTTTCCACATCGGTATTTTTGTTTGTCATCAGTCAAGTGGCTCCGATTTTAGGTCAAGATATAAAATGTCAAATTTAACCAAAAAGTGCAAGGGCAAGGCAAATACAAATTTAACTGCACGATGTTTCAATGTGTTTCTTGGTATCCATCCTACCTCAAAAATGATGCTCAATCAGTCTGGCCCCAAGACCATAATCTGAGAATAGACTTAAGTCAAAATTTTGATTTTTAATATCTTGAGTTTTCTTAAATGTATTTACTTAAAAATTTGCAATTTTATATAACATTTAAATTGAAATATATGATGAAAATTTTGTTTCAATATCAAAATTATTTCAAAAGTTATATTGGTTTGAAATTTTGACTTAAGTCTATTCTCAGTTTATGGTCTTGGGGCCAGATTTCTGAGATATTTTAGTTATTCAGTAAAAACAAACACCTGTATTTAAAAATGGAAATTTTCATCATTTCATTGGGAAATAAATATAAAATAATAAATTTTAGAGAATTGACGTCACCTGTGTGGCGACGTTAAACAAAGATACAAATGAAGCCCTTATTACATCGACAGTTTTACAGTGAAAGCTACACAATTGATTTATTTGTTTAATTTGTACGTTTGATTCTTGGTTTCAGATTGATAGCTCTAGGATATACCCGCGCCTGGATTTAAAGAGCTTCTCGTGTACAATGTGTCAAACACTGACTTTTATTCGGCATAGTACATCCAAATATTAACAATATTACATAACTTTAGGTAACTATAGCATACTATAGGTAACTATAGTATACTATAGTTAACGATAGTAAGAACTTTAATAATTTGATTTACTATGAAACTTTACTCATGATCTTTTTTAAGATTCCAAAGCTTATAATCTCTTACATTCATTAAAAGTGATGTTAAATTTGGAAATAATATGTAAATATACCAGTAATAGTTTCATTTAATAAATCAATATGCATGTATGAATTGGAGAACATAAAATATAACAATGTGAAATCCATAATAAAGGTACTTTAATTTACTATAATGGAAATTTTGATTTACTATAGTAAAAAACATAGGTAATCAGAGATTACAGAGCTCACCTCAACGAATGTTGTCTTTAAGTAAGCAAAGTCCCAAACTAATTATCTAGTGGTGAGCATCCCTCGATGTAACATTTATGCAATTTTGGCTGGCAGTTACTTGGAAAAAGACTTACCTTTAAACTTAAAACTAGTTTCTCATCCAGAAAATGTAAGTCATATCCAACATCTGAAGCAGGTTTGAGAGTGTTCATCCCTTGATGCATCATCCGTGCAAGTTTGGTTCAGATAGCCCTTTTAGTTTACTTTAATCTGGTATCACCTGGAAAATGTAGGTCAAATACAGAATCCGAAGCAAGTCCAGTAGTGTGCATCCTTAGATGTATCATCCATGCAAGTTTGGTCAATATAGGGCTTATAGTTACTTGGAAATGAGACCTGCTCCAAACACTTTAACCTGGTTACTCATCTGGAAAATGTAGGTCAGATCCAGCATCCAAAGCAAATCCATTAGTCTACAACCTTAGATGTATCATCCATGCAAGCTTGGTCAATATAAGGCTTATAGTTACTTGAAAATGAGACCTCCTCCAAAAACTGTAACTTCGTCACTCATCTGGAAAATGTAGGTCAGGTCCAGCATCCGAAGCATGTCCAGTACTGTGCATCCTTAGATGTATTATCCTTGCAAGTTTGGTCAATATAGGGCTTATAGTTACTTGGAAATGAGACCTGCTCCAAAAACTTTAACCTGCTCCAAGAACTTACACCTGCTCTAAAACATTAACCTGGTCATTCTTCAGCTGAAATTGCAACATCTGAAACCTTGACACATACTAGAAGCATCCTCCATGCATCTCTGATTAATAGAGGCCACAGAAGTACTTGAAAAGAAAACTGCACCAAAAACTTTAACGAGGGACGCCGACGGTATTACATAAGGTCCCCCAACTTCGTTGAGGTGAGCTAAAACTTTGATACTATAGTAAACTATGGTTAACTATATTATTTGCCATGACCCAATTGATTTCATCCTAAATAATCTTTCGAAGAACTTGCACAGTAAATCTAGTATCTCTAACGTAGTCCAACTTTGCAGTAAAAAGGTCGTGAGCTTTTCTCTTGAATCTTTTATACCCAAGAGTCAGAGACAAAGGAAATACATACAGTTCGATACCAAAAAAAAGACATAAGAGAAAAAAGATGATGTATAGTTTTATTTTCAATGCATTGTCTTAAAACAAGAAATATGAGGATAATGATTTGTAATTATGCCTAAAAATCCAATTAAACAATACAGATTGAAAGTAAGCAGGGACCTTTGAAATTCTTATGTTATATATGATATGGAGGAGTTAGGATCACCTGTCTAACAGTTACATTCGCCCTGAACCCCGTCATGATCAGATAAAGAGAAGATGACCATGTCAACAACAGCAAATAAAATCTATCATTTAGTCGAATGCTGACTGATGTTTAACATACAAATGGTTATGCCATTATTTTCACACTGAATTGTCACGGATTTTCCCCCGTTTACCCGATCATGACAAGGAGCAAACGGTGGATGTGACCGGTTACCAGGGGATGCTCCTTGGCACCCGATCCTAACTCTGATGTTTTTTTGTTGTTTTTTTTTTTGGATGTCCGTGTGTTTGATCTGCTTAAGATTTGTAGTGCTTCAATGGACTTTTGAGCATGACTACTGATTGTTATCTCCGTATTTCATCCATAGAAAATTCAGCATAAAAAAGGGGATTTCAAGGTGTATCATTTACAGAATACACATAAAGATGACGTTACATGATATTTTGATATCAGCAACATCTTATAAATTGTTAATTATTCCTGTGAGCAGCATTGAAATCTTTCATTATATGTCACTCATTACATTGAAAACAAAACAGAAATACTTATATCGCTTGGGTAGAGCTGAAAAAGTATATGAATGGATTCACAGAGTGAACAAGAACTTTAAACACCTTACTTACATGAAGAATAATAATATCGTTATCAAATTTCTCATAATTAGAAAGACCCGTCATGATTTCATTTGAAAGGGAACTCTGAACAATAGAAAACAACGAGCTCACAGTTCTTAGAAACAGAATTAATAAAACCATTAACGTCATCCGCTTTTCTAGATTCCTAGCAGCTAACGATGACTTCACAGTTTTACATCGATTGACAAGGAAATAGATGTTCAGAACGATGAAAAAAAAAGAGAAGGAGCCCATCATCAGCTATGTACAAGAAATCTAAATAAGGGGTGTTCAGAGACCATATAACTTCTACAATAAGAACTCCGTATACAATACTTAATATCAAACAAATAACTGATATGATATATATTTTAGGATTTGTGAGGTAGGCACGGCATTTTAATGGTTGAACAAACATGGCGTACCTCAATGTTAAAAGTACTATTACATTCAAGGAAGAAAACATTTTTGTTGTATATGTAGTTATATCAAAAAGGCTTTTGAACCATAAAACTTCACAGATACTTGACGGAATTTCAAGAAATTCATTTAGAACAAAATTCACTTGATACAAGACATCGGCAACAGCTAAACTTAAGATACTCAAGTAAAATGGTTTTCTTAGCTTATCATTTTTCAAAATTATAACAATAGTTGATAAGTTACAAATGATTCCTAAGGCGGAAATGGTCGAAGCTAAGAATGTCAGTAAATCAGACTTCTCTGCAAGTTGTGAAGTGAATTCTTTCGACGTGGACCCAATGTACTGGTTAGAACCTTCCTGACCAATCGCGTTTTCGGATGAGGTCGAAGAACACCAATCTTCAAGAAGACTACCCAGCGAGTGATCATTTGTACCTAATTTAATATTTAATAAGTGAAGGCAATCAAGCATATGAGAACCGCTTCTCAAACATTCATTAAGTTTTTCTGTTATGTTGGAATATTTAGGTACATCTAGGAGGGGCGCTAGGGACCTGGAGTCATTTCTTCCCTCATTTTTTGACAACAATGATGAATTAGAAGAAAAGAAATTTGTAGCATCATTTGAACTCATGGCATCTAGTTCAGATTTTTCTGATGAAACAGTTGTCTTCTCCGCTGTTCCTTCCCCGTTAGAACACACTTGTAATGAGTGCGCCATTATGTAGACACACACAAACAATGCTTTACTCAAGCCCCCTGTTTAATAAAGAAAGAAAACGGTAAAAAAAGATATCTACAGGCTAATCTAAGACAACAGCAGGTTTCTTCTCTAAAGTGTTCCTTCTGTAGGTATCTTTATTAGGTAGAATGGGAATTTAACCATTCATTCAAACAGATGATACAGACAGAGCATATATTAACTGTACAGCTCCAAGTTCTTTTTAAAAGAGATCCTTCTTCAAATTGTGCGTACAACTGTCTCTATTTCTATCGTTCGTAAATCTTTCTAACCATTATGATAGCTGTACACATCTAAACCTTAATGCTGAGCCTTAATGTACCTTAATCTTCGGGCATTTCGAATTAATCAAGTCTGTATCTATCGTTTATTCATCAGAGGTTAATTAATACCTATCTGTAGATTATTCAGATGTTATTCTGCAGATGTATCCAAGACAATGTAATTGTCTGTATTGTAAAGTCCATTCTTTTTGTTGTTATCATCACTGAAGTATTTACCCGAAACTACATCAACACCACACAGAAAGAGTTGAACATGTACATTGAGTTCTCGTCTATGATAAAATCATGCAAAACTGCCCACAAGCATTTTCAGCAAAATTATTGATATTTTGTCTAAATAACAAACTTGGCAAAAGGCTTCCAAATACAAAATGTTTTGTTCATATCCGAAAGTATGGAGCTTCTTCAAATTTCTTCCTATAAATTCATACTTGATTTTTGAAAAAAACTATCAATTTACATTTAAGGTTATTCTTTTTACGAAAATTATACAAAATTCTAAAAGATGATTGGAAAATCAGAGCTGAATATATTTTTCTCTTAACTATTTGTTAATGATCCCGCCTTCCAACCCGGGCCACCTAAAAACTGTGGTACCTTGCCTAAATTCAGTGACAAATTTCGTAAGCTATATAACTGTTTTACTTTCCCTTGAAACCTCAATAAAAATAAATAATAATGAAATGTCAAGTTCGGAAAAAAAAATTAACATTCAATAAATAAGCATTCATGTAAGTGTCTATGTTTTTTTTAATTTGCAGAATGCAATTTCAGCTTAAATGTAGTAGCTTGAAATATGAATAACTTAAGTTTTATAAAGGCAAGAAGGCATTTGTTTGATTTTATATCCTTTAAAATTAGGTAAATCACAGATAATTAAATAATATGAATAAGATGAACGTAAAAATTTTAATTATATCAGTTTTAAACCTTAAAAATTAAAAAAAAAACTTGTTCTTACCCTGAAATGTGAACATTTTTTCTAGAAATAGCACTCTTGCGCAAATTGAACCACGTACAGGTAATTGATTGGGAAAGAAATATAACCGACTCAAGCGGCAAGTAAAATAAAAGGCGATAGTCTTGAACCTGATTTATAAATCAGAAAAATATCAACATAACAAGAAATATGCAATGGGCGTGCCCAGGCAATGTAGGGAATATCTTGCATAAATTTTGTAGAGAAGAGAAAACACGATGTGTTTGTGAAACACTATGCCCCCGATGGTAACACAATTCTGGATGGGACGTAGACTACAGTGCAATAGTTGTGGCCAATGTCAAAGTTTTTCAAATGTAGGTCAAAGGTCACAGTTGAGGTCACATGATCAGATTTCTGTATCAATGGAAAGGTCTTGTCATAATGAACACTCATGTCAAATATAAGAGCCTTACCCTTGACAGCGCAATAGTTATGGGCTAGGTTAAAGTTGACAACAAACAGACAGACAAACAGGACAAAAACAATATACCCCCGGGATCTTTCGATCTGGGGGCATAAAAAAAAAACATTTATTCCCATGTGAAGGTAGCCAACCCTATCCACCAGGGTGAGGAAGGTAATAATTTTAACAAATTTTAATCTGTGGGTGTCGGTAAAACGCGGAACGAAAAACGGAACGGAAAGCGAAACGTAACCTAAAAATACAATTCCAGCTTTAATTACTTAAAATATAAAAATCATACCAGAAACGAAAAAGATCATGTAAATGTTTTCGTATCTAATCCTTAAAGGGTATATGCAATGGCCACTGCAATAATTTCCGTTTGTTACGAACGCCATAAAATGACCATAGCAAAAAAACGCATCGAAATCCATGCAGTAGTTACAGAGTTATTCCGCTTGTAAAATGTCTATTTTTACCTGTACCGGAAATCCAATCAAGAGAAAATAGAAACACCCGAAAACGAGGCTCAGTTTGTGTGACGTCACAAAGAGGACGACGGCGGCGAATACAGATAGTGTTTATAGCGATTATAGCGACGAAAATAGCGATAGAGACTGTGGTTCATCAAGTTTTGAGGAAACGATCGATGAGATGACCAATTTGGGTACACAACCTTATCTTTTTGAGCCTGAAGCGAGTACAGACGAGGAATCTACGGCAGCTAGTCCTCCGGAAGCCACAAATCAAGATCGACTTGGGAACAATGACTGGTAGTTATCTATCCTATATTTGATCTTAATAAGCTTTTTTATTATTATTTCTTACATTGAAGTAAACCTATGTCTTCATGTTCAATTATAAATATAAATTTCCTGTTATCTTTACTACAATGACTGTATACATTCGCTGAAACTAGGTGCGGGGTTCGATTTTACATGGCTTCCTACAAAAGTCTATCAATTGTATCGCTAGATTTAAATAGATAAACTCTATTTATCCGATAATTTCAAAGTATCTAACGATAGTAAATTTGTCAATTGAATATTTTAACTTTATTCTACCTCTAAGCCTCACAAATTCAGCTGAACATTCATGCATAATACCAGACCATAGCCTTTTTAAAATACAAATTTTCTTCTTCTTTTTTTTGATAGAATCTAGGCATAACTTTTTTGTTCTTGAAATGTTGGTATGTAATCTGCCTTTAAGAACTCAAAAATATTATTTTATGTAATTTGAAATGAATTATTTATCGTGCCAGTTTTCACAATTTTAGGTCAAGTTTTTGTTCTTAGTTGCAAGTTCTTTTGAGAACTTGTTAGTTGTCACAAGTATGGTATATAAATCTCCCCCACCAAAGCTAAAGACTGAATTAAATTTGAAAAACATATTCAGTCCAAAAGTAATTTATTCTTTCAGAGTTATGTGAAACCTTGGCTTTATACTCTCCTGAATGTATTAGTAAAACATGAAAAACTGAAATATTTTTGTAGGTGTACCTGTGGTCGCTGCCCCCCAATGACTTCTATTGCAGAGTCTGTGTGCTGTCAGGAAATTCCACAAGTAATGGCTGTACTTGAAGAAGATCCCGGAAAGCCATGCATCATAGAACACAATGGTTTTCAACCAGTATGTCTGCATCCATCAGTTCTTCGTACTGCATACTATGTGTATCGACAACAGTATGAAGAACTCCCCGAAACTGATCGGTAAGTATCAATACAGATTATAATTTGAATATTTTTCAGGACATTAAAAAATTATATATTATTGATTTTAAAAATGAAAACAAGAAACTGAAGTCAGGTTTCATCAGTTCAAGAATCTTTAATAATTGAAACAACTTTTGAAATAACTTTTGAAATAACTAAACAAACAACATTCCATGAGATGAAAATGTAAAAAATTATTTATATATAGATATATATCATGCCTGCATGAATTGTAGATTCTATAGACCGTAAAATGATTTGCATTTATATCAAACAAGAACCATAAAAATAGGTACAACAGTCACAACTAGATAGTAATGCATGAACAAAACAAGAATAAAGATAACAAAAAAACCTGTAAATTTTTTTGACAGAAATAACTAACTCCTCCCCCCCCCCCCACACACACACACAAAATGCACATCAGTAAAAAGTCAACAACAATGTCAGAATATTCTATCCTAATCTAGAGCCAAAAGGCAAGTACTTGAACATTACCAAATGCAACAAATAAAAACTGCAAAGAAACAAAAACGACAAACATTAACCAAAAATGAAAATTAACTGAAAATGCATACATAAAACAAACAGACTAGACAACAATAAAAATCAATGAAAAAAAAATCAAAACAGCAGACATAACCAACAATATGAAACAATTGAAAATTCATAAATAAAACAGACTAGACAACAACAGTTAAAGTCTATTTAAAAAAAATCAGAACAGGAATCTTAACACAAAAAGGGAAATAACTGAAAATACATAGACAACAGTGAAAGTCAATAACAGAATTTTTAACCAAAAATGAAAAGTAAAATGGTTTTAGTCATCAAAAACCTCTTAAAACTTGTAATATTTTACAGGCGGATGCGCTACATATGGTACAGACAACTTGCTAAATGTGTTGGGGATGGTTAGGGAAACAAGTCGTGCACCACTTCCTGCTTGTGCTGTCCAGAAAATCCGGGACACATATCCAGAGGAAGATGGTGAATACCAAGGATTCAACATGGCCTAATTCCTTCGGAACCTTGACAGCATCTGACCCACCGCATCATCTTTCTCTGGGTGTACATACTGGTCGCACAGTGGCGGTGGTGCAACTCCAAGATTCCCACACTGTGGCATCTTCATGTTGATGGCCCGCGTCTTTGCAGCGTTTGTAAGAACATCAATATAGTCTGAAAGAGAATTTGTGTCCATTAAATCTAAATGACAGTTTTTGAAACCTGTTTATGTTACTTTTTATCTCTATCTATATTTATCTGTGATATTGCGATGAAGATATAATAAATTTACCATAAGTACTTTGCGTCTTGATTTTCGTCGCAGTGTAGTCCCCCTTTTTTGTGCTTAGGAAATACAATGCTGTATTGTAGATTCCCCTCTCTTGTGGCTGCCTGATCCTTACTGGAATTCTCATTGTAGTGAAGTGCTGCTAAGGCTAAGGCCAAGCTATAATTGAAAACAATATGAGATTATAATTTATTTTGTAGATCATACTTATTTGTGTATGTCACTGTTTTTCTATAATGACACTGAGTACCAAAACAAATATAAATATTAAAAGTATTGTTCAGTACGCAAGTCAACATACCGACTTTGCATTCCAAAGTAGGAGAATTTGTACATCTTTGGCGCAAACTGGTTTATGACAGAGTGGAATGCCTCTACACTTGAAGTCTGAAATGATGACGAGAGCATGGGGATGTCCTTCTTCATCTGTCTGCTATTCACAATGGTTCCTAACATCTCCATCACTTTGGTTCCTGAAAGAGAAAAAATGTTAATTTTTACAAATTTTTTAATTTTTTTTTTTTATTTTGCTAATTTCTTTCGTTAATTTTTTTAATTTTAAACGTTGCACCAAGTCACCCCCCCCCCCCAATGCGTTTTTTTCTCCATTACAGTAAATGATAGTGATATCATACATATTATGTATTTTTTAATTGATGACTATATTAATACAACTTACAAAACTGTATGTGAATATATAAAGGATCTTACCTGGTCTCAACCATCTTTTCCGTTTAGCAGTTGGGTCAAGGTCCCCATGTTCACACCGTTGAAAACGTTGCTCGTTACCTTTATGAATGTTCTGGACATGGTTGGTTATACTAGTCCACTTTTCCCATTTGAGCTCATTGTCTTCATCATCAGGTGCTGAGGAGGGTACCCAATACAAATGGTTTTCCAGACTTTTTATCCACTCTCTAAGGTGCTCGCAATCCTTTTCTTTGCTGAGGCTCAACAGCTTCTTCTTAAAACCTAAAAGTGAAAACATGACTACTTACATGTTCACCCTGACTAACTAATTAAGTAACCAGTAAGAAATGCATATATGATGCTTTTACATATGTGTGCAATATATTCTCCCACCACTTTAAAAAGACATACTCTATTTTCATACCTTTTGCTACATGCCACACATCAATGCTATGTGTTGTATCTGGTAGGTTCTTACGCAGCCACTTGGCAACCTGAAGATGTCTGTCAGTCACTATCTGGCTTATTGGTACCCCATTCTGCTCAAGGTAACGAACACCTCGGATCAAACCCTCTTTCTCCATAAGGCAACTCGTCGCCCGCGTGGCGCAGTGGTTAGAGCGTCTGCTCTAGAGTCGCGGCGTAAGTTAGAGTATAAAATGAACTGAAAGGTGAAGCTTTGTTGCCCCAAAGCAAGAAAAATAGGGTGATCAGGATCAACAAAATAATTAGTGAAGTATTCATTAACAGTTCATAAATTAGGTTCTAATCTGTTCCCCATTTATCACTATCACCATACAGTATATTAACAAACTATCAGTGCTTCTGTACTATTTTAATTCCTTGTTGAAATCTCTTACATTGGCGTCTCTTGGTCTTTGATGAACATTTAAAAAGACAAGTCATTTTTGTCTCTTTTTTATTTATCTATTACTTACAAGTCTACCTGATCATTAAAACTATGAAAATACTTTTCGTATTATACAATAAAAATTCTTGCATAATTCTCTTATTCTATTAACCTTTCAAGTACATTATTTACAGTGATTAATTATCAAAAGTAAATGGCAAAGGGGAATAACTCCTCTCAGTAGAATACAAATTAATAGAGCCCTGGCCAGGATCAGAACACTTGACCAAATGGTCCAGATGTTCAAAAATCTGGTTAAAGTACTCTTCCTTATTAAAACTCTTACTCTTTTTGTCTCTGATATGCCCAGGTGCAGAGAAGATTTTTAAAGAAATAATGCATTTTTAGAACAGATTCACTATATTATCAATACAGCCCCCCCCCCTCCCCACCGAGAAACACCAGAGCCTCTCACCCTGGGACCAGCAGTTTGTTCACCATAAGTAATCACTTTATCTGCTTAACACTAAGAGCAGACAGGATTATTTAATAGAATTAGTGCATTTTCACTATATTATCAAGAGCCCCACCCTTATACCAGCACATCTGACCCAGGGGTCATGCAATTCACTACTCTAGAAGAAGCACTCTTGCTCATCATAACTATACACTAAGCTTCTTTGCTTTCTAACCAGGAGCAGAAAGAATATTTTCAAAGAAATTTTGCTTTTTCACTATATTATCAATAGAGCCCCCCTCCCCCCCCCCTTTCACCAGAACCCTTGACCCTGGGGCCATGAAATTCATAATTTTGGAAGAAGCATCCTACGTATCATAACAATGTACTAAATTTGTTTAAATAATACCCAGGGGTAGAGAAGAAGATTTTCAAAGAAATAATTCACCTTCACTATAGGATCTATATAGCCCCACCTTAACACCAGAACCCTTGATTCTTGGGCCATGAATTTCACAATTTTGGAAGAGGTATCCTTGCTTATCATAACAATGTACTTAGTTTGTTTAAATAATACCCAGGAGCAGAGAAGAAGATTTTTAAAGCATAAATGCATTTTTACTATATAATACATATAGTCCCGCCCTAACACCAGAACCCCTGATCCAGGGGCCATGAAATTCACAGTTTTGGAAGAGGCATCTTTGCTTATCATAACTATGTATTTAATTTGTTTAAATAATACCCAGGGGTAGAGAAGAGATTTTCAAAGAAATAATGCACTTTTACTGTATGATCTATATAGCCCCACCGTAACACCAGAACCCCTGATTCTATGGCCATGAATTCACAATTTTGGAAGAGTCACCCTTGCTTAGCGTAATAATGTACTTCGTTCGTTTAAATAATACCCAGGAGCAGAGAAGATTTTTAAAGCACAAATGCATTTTCACTTTATAATAAATATAGCCCCGCCCTAATACCAGAACCCCTGACCCAGGAGCCATGGAATTCACAATTTTGGAAGAAGCATCCTTGCTTATCATAACTATGTATTTAATCTGTTTCATATTTGGATAATTTTCTTGAAAAAGACGTTAATGGTAATCTAACAACCAAGCTTTATGATAAACGTGATGGCTTTAACTTTTCAATCGTCAACTTCCCTTACTTATGCAGCAATATAGCTTCATCACCTGCATACGGGGTATATATCTCTCAGTTGATTCGATACGCAAGAGCATGCTCTACGTATGTACAATTTCTAGAACGAGGTAAATTATTGACAAATAAGTTGATGAAACAAGAATATCAGCTGTCTGGGTTAAAGTCATCACTTCGTAAGTTCTATGGTCGATACAATGACCTTGTCAGCAAATACAATTTATCATTGAGTCAAATGCTGACTGATGTTTTTCACACTAATTGTTAGGCCATTATTTACACTCTGAATTGTCGACGGATTTTTCCGTTATTTCCCGATCATGACAAGGAGCACACGGCGGGTGTGACCGGTCGGCAGGGGATGCTCACTCCTCCATGGCACCTGATCCCACCTCTGATGTTTGGAGGTCCGTGTTTGCTCTGCTCCTATTTTGTATTGATTAATGGACTTTTGAGCTTGAATACTGTTCGTTATCTCCATATATTTCATTTGTTTAAATAATACCCAGGAGTAGAGAATGTACTTTCACTATATGATCTATATAGCCCCACCCTAGCACCAGAACCCCTGATCCTGGGGCTATGAATTTCACAATTTTGGTAGAGTCACTCTTGCTTATCATAACTATGTATTAAATTTGTTTAAATGATACCCAGGAGTAGAGAAGAAGATTTTCAAAGAAATAATGCACTTTCACTATATGATCTATATAGCCCCGCCCTAGCACCAGGACCCCTGACCCTGGGGCTATGAATTTCACAATTTTGGTAGAGTCACTCTTGCTCATCATAACTATGTATTTAATTTGTTTAAATGATACCCAGAAGTAGAGAAAATGATTTTCAAATAAATAATGCACTTTCACTATATGATCTATATAGCCCCGCCCTAGCACCAAAACCCCTGACCCTGGGGCCATGAATTTCACAATTTTGGTGGAGGGCTCAATGTTTATTACAATCCATGCCAACAGTTTGACTGCTTGATGTCTAGGAGTAAAGATTTTTTAAGATAACACTAATTTTTATGGTTTTAGCCCTACCCCTCAGGCCCCAGGGATCAGGGGCCACAAAATTCACAATTTTTGTACCCCTTCACCCATTGATGCTATATGCGAAAATTGGTTGAAATTGGTTCAGTGGTTCAAGAGAAGAAGCTGAAAATGTTCAAAAGTCTACGACCGACGCACGACGACAGACGAAAACAGATAGCAATAGGTCACCTGAGTGACTCAGGTGACCTAAAAATTCGATGACCCTTTTAAGGCTCAATCAAAGAAGAAAGTATGGTTTTAGCTTTATTGTGCCCTAAAAATTTAATGTTTTCAAAAAGTTCTGAAACTGGCTTAAATATTAGTTGAGTATATGACTGTAATAAATCAGGAAAGATTATAGCATGATGGAGTACCATTCTGGATATATGACGTCATTAATTTGATGCATTTCTCTATTTTAAACAGAAAAAGCCACAAAATGACCCATTTCAAGGGTTATTTTCCTAAAGAAAATAGTGTCCACAGCCGTCGCCCACGTTAATTTTTAGATATGTTGTGTAAAATTCTTTGAAAAATCACATATCTCAAAATCTTTGTGGGCGATGCCTGTGGACAATATTATCTGAAAGAAAATTCCATTGAAAATTGATGTCTTCTGCAACTTTTTAAGAAAAATACGGGAAAATGCACAAGTTTATGACGTCACAATTAGCATTTGGAAAGTCATGTGAGAAAAAAGATTTGTATGATCTTTCTGCATGGAATTTCAATAATTCAAAAAACATGAGTTTTAATTTTTTACATCACTTTTATTTTTAAGAAAAACACAGGGCAATATTTGTATTGAAACTGTACCTTGTTCTTTTAAGAAAAGGTGCCTTTAAAACAGCTGTTATAAAAGAATTTTAAAAACCCAGGTCACGATGTTTTTTTTTATTTAAGAACACATAAAACACAGTCAATTTTTATGAACACGAAACACACTCTGTCAATGTTAAGAACACACATAGTCAATCTTTATGAAGGATGTACACATGTTTTTGATAAGTGTGTATTAATTGTCCATAATGAAACCAATTTCCTCCTGCTAAAACAGACTGTTTGTAAGGAAAGGCGCTGGCGGCGATTCAAGTCAGTAAAGCTACCCATAGTGACGACATAACATGTAACAAAATCAGCTGGAGAGAGAAATAAGAAATGTGTTTGTTTTCCTGCTACAGTATTTTTAAGGACAATTACACAATACTTTCAGTGGTTAGAGCGTCTGCTCTAAGAGTCGCGAAGTAAGGAGTTGATCCTTACGTCGCGGGTTCGAACCCCACTGTGGGACGTGGAGACCGGTCCTTCGCATGAGACCGTATAAACCGAGATCCCGTGTCGCAGTAGGTGCTGGCACGAAAAAGATCCCTCTATGCTCAATGGCCGTAAGTGCCGAGTATAGGACAAAATTTGCAGCTGTGCATCGGCAAGTGGTGGCGTCTCCATATGAGTGAAAAATTCTCGAGAGGGACGTTAAGCAACATACAAACAAACACAATACTTTCATTGGTAAGAAAGATTGATTGATTGATTATTGTTTTACGCCCCATTCGAGATTCGAGGATTTTTCACTCAAATATAGACGTTACCATATACCGGTGAAGGGCTTCAAATTTTGACCTTTACTAGGCACTCAGGGCCATTGAACAGTGAGGGATCTTTATCGTACCAACGCGGGCCTCGGTTTTTAAGTTTTCATCCGATGGGCCCGCAACTTTCACTTCAAAGTGCCGAGCGCATGGCGAAGAACAGTTGCTATCCATTTTTTATCGACTTAGGTCAGTCGCGGCCGAGATTCGAACTCACGACCTCCCGACCACGAAGCGAGCGCTCTACCGACTGAGCTACTGTGAACGGTTCGGTAACAAAGATGTTATGTGATAATTCGTAATTTTCATGAAATCAATAGAACATATTCATTTGCTAAAGCATTATTAAAAACATGAATCTTTTAATATATTTACTTGATCAATGACATTGCATTTAATAGAATTTACATAACCTAATCAGTTACGTTGACATTTCTACTTTTCTTGAGAAAGAACATTCTACAAGTTTTAATCTTTCTGTATGGAAAAGAGAC